CGGAAAAACTTCTAACGGGTCTCATTCACTCGCTGATTGTTCCCCGCGTGTTCAATATGCTCCGCGTGTGCGCATCAGGCCCCGAAGCCGTCCCCCGGGCCGCACAAGGAGCGCGAGTGCCTGCCGCTGGCGGTGATTCTGCGCAACCGGCTCAAGTACGCGCTGACGTACCGCGAGGTGAACGCCATCGTCATGCAGCGCCTCATCGCCGTCGACGGCAAGATCCGCACTGACAAAACCTTCCCCGCCGGCTTCATGGGTGCGTGCCACCATCCCGTCCGATTTTCCCGGCAAGCTGCTTCCCCTTGAGGTACTCCCTCGTGCTGCTTGCGTGCTGTTTGCGCGGCGGATTCTCGTCCAGGACTAGTCAGGGCGCGCACCTCACTCGCTCGGTCGCTCACCGGCTGCTGTAATGGCTGGCGGCGTGGCGACCAAGCGGGTGCCGGCAGTGCAACGCCCGTTACATTCCTGGCACATGGACTTCGAGGTTACGTTGCAGCAGAGTCCGCCGCCCTTGCTGGCGCGCTTCCGTGGCTCTGCCTGCTCCATTGGCCTCCTACATCCCGCGTTCGTCGCAGCACTTGGTTGTCTCACAAATTCTCGGTTGTTTCCAATCTCCCACATCCTCCTCATTTTCTTTCCTTCGCGCGAGAGCGGAATGTCGCCGTGCAAAGGCCGGTTGCCCACTGCCGCTCTCCATCCAACACGCTCCTGCTCCCGTTCTCGTTCCCGTGCTGGTTCCCTTTCCCTTCTCCTGTTTCTGTGCGTGCATGCACGGCGGGCAGACGTGGTGTCGATTGCGAAGACGGACGAGAACTTCCGTCTGCTTTACGACAGCAAGGGCCGCTTCACGCTGCACCGCATCACGCCCGACGAGGCCAAGGTATTTTCCGCGCCTCTCCACGCTCACCGCTGGAGCCGCAGCGCAGGACTATGGGGGAGGGAAGGGTAGGGAAAGGGGCAGGGGCATGCGTAAGACTGGGCAGGTGCTGGGAAGAAATGCTGTCATGGCGCGGGTTGTGTCGGCGTGGCGTGTGAGCCAACGCACAGTGCGCTCTTGCGGCAATACGGGGATGCTGCACTCGTGTGAGGAGCGAGGGACGAGTGCCGTTACTGTCCTCCAAGGCCGGATAGTTGGGAGGGTTCTGTCCGGGCAACGCTTTAGTTCGGCAGCTGTTCAGTGCGAAGCGAGGTGGTTATGGGCCCTTGCCAAGGAAATCCTGGCGTTTTAACGGATGACGGAGAGCGGGTTCATGGAGCAGTTTATGTGGCACGTTTCGTTGCGGTAGCCGAGTGCCAAGCCTGTGTTGTCATTTGCACTCATCTGCACGCCACTCTCATTGCCGATCCCCGAGTACTACTCATATTTACTCTGCCCCGTTTGCGTTTCTCCTTCCACTCGTCCCTCACCCTCCCTCTCCCCGCACTTCCTCCCTCCCCTTCCCCTGTTGCGCGCAGTACAAGCTGTGCCGCGTGCGCGCGCAGCGCGTGGGCGACCGCGGCATTCCGTACATCGTGACGAACGACGGGCGCACGATCCGGTACCCCGACCCGGTGATCAAGGTGAACGACACGGTGAAGCTGGACCTGGAGAGCGGCAAGGTCGTCGAGCACATCCACTTCGACACCGGCAACCTCTGCATGGTCACTGGTAGGTGCTACCTGGGGGAGGTGACCTCTGCATGGTCACCGGTAGGAGCTACCTGGGGGAGGTGACCTCTGCATGGTCACTGGTGAGCAAGGGGCTGGGGGAGGTGGCATCTGCATGTTCTCTGGTAAAAGCACACAGGGGGAGGTGACGTCTGCATGAGGCCAATGGCAGAGGGAGATGCTGTCTGCATGTCACCGATGAGCGCACACCAGGGGAGGTGCCATCCGCATAGCATGCGGTGAGCGCATCATAGGGGGAAGTGCTACCTGCATGGTCCCCGGGTGAGCACACTGCAGGGGGAAAAGCTACCTGCATGGTCATCGGGTGCTATCTGGTGGCGCAGGGCGATGTGCTATCTGCATTGTCACTGGTTAGCCTGGCGGCAGGGGAAGGTCCTATCTGCATGGTTACCGGTTAGCCGCTACAGGGGCAGGTGCTATCTGCAAGGTCACCGGTGAGCGCACTGCAGGGAGTGGTGCTGCCTGTGGAAAGGTGGTGTATGTTTTGCTACGGGTGAACCACGGGTTGGGGGTTCATATGGTGCTAGTCACGGGTGATTTCTGCTACTTAGCATAGGCCGCACAGTCACGTCTTTCACCCACCTTTTCTGTCCACACGGTCCCATACCCTCTCCTTTTCCTCCTCCCTATTGATTCCTTCTGTCTCGCAACGGCGCAGGTGGGCGCAACAGGGGGCGAGTGGGGGTGATGGAGCACAGGGAGCGGCACAAGGGCAGCTTTGACATCTGCCACATCAAGGACGCGGCAGGCCACCAGTTCGCCACGCGCCTCACCAACGTGTTCCTCATCGGCCAAGGCGCCAAGCCCTGGGTCTCGCTGCCCAAGGGCCGCGGCATCAAGCTCTCCATCGTCGAGGAAATGCGCAAGGCGCGCGCCGCTGCCAAGACCGCCGCTTGAACACGCATCTAGCTCTTGCTTGAGTCACTGCTGCTGCTGTGCAGGTGAGTTTTCTTTTGTTTCAACATTCTTATGCTGTAGCTGTGTCTGTGTTCGGTTCAAATAAACTGATTGATGCTTTATGGTTCTCCTTCCAGGCCCATGCTTCCTTTCGGCTTTCAGTATCTGTAACAACGCTGGCTGCAACCAGGCCTTTTTCGTCCAGAAATATTCCAGAATATATCCCAAGGAGTGCTTTTGCTGTGGTCCAGTGTTTCTGCACTAGCCCAATACTGACTTGGATGTCGAATCAAGGCTGATTGTAGTGTGTAGTGTTGCCTGTCTTTGACACTACATGATACAACCGCAGCCTGGTATGAGCAATCGCCCTTGTACTGATTTAAATCTGTATTTTTGTTTCACGTCGAATGGAACCTTGGTATTCTTTTAGTAGTGCTATAAGCGAACTCAGATTACAGATCATCTGTACACTTCAGTAACAGGCCCCCTATAGTTGAATACAAATACACCTCCCCAGCCCCCGGCCCCTCCAGTTTTTAGTGCTTTATTGTAAGCGCATCAGCGATTATATCCTGGTAACGCGGTTTGTTCGTAGCGTTTACATCAACAAATATTGAGCTACTTGTGTGTCTGCACCCACAAACGAGTATGGTCCGGTTATCATCCCGGAGAGGGCACGAAGCTCGCAGAGCTAGTTCGCCGGGTTGCGCCTTGCGTCGGCCCTGCTCGACAGGCACGCCAAACCTTCAGGGGCACGTTCGCGGCTGTTTCGAGTTTGGCTTTTTTTCTACGGTCAGCCCACAATCTGCTGTACCTGGGCTTTAACGCTTTGTTGCGTGAAGGGTTAAGGGTTAGCCTGTCGAACGCGACGTTAACCCTTCAAGTTCAGCCCCCCCGAAAGCTCCCAGCCCCTTCGCTCACGCGTAAACTTCAGCCCAGCTCTAGCCCAGCCCACCAATCCCCAGAATGGAGGTTGGCCAAGAGCTAGGCTAGGGTTTCATACGAGAGGGATTACCCACCCCGTACCCTACGAAATGTTTCCCAACAGAGCCCGTGCCCTAGCCTCTACCATCTCTGCCCTGAAAATGTCCCATCGTAGCACAACCAAACCAGCCAACAGCCAGATTTGTTTTGCCCTTGAGCTACCCAGGTTCCCATGCCATCCCTTTGCAAAACTTTGGACACTGCCCACAATGAAGATGGTGGAAGGAGGGGTAGCAACTTCGCCAAGACGACCCCCTCCTTCCGACCTCGGGAGGCGCTGCTTCCGATTTCGTGGGGGGGTAGGGGAAGTTACTTCAAAAACTCCTCTTAGCTTGCCCAACCCTAGCTCTCCACGGAGATGGCTGCCTATCGAACAGGGCATCGTATGTTTCTCGCAAAACGTATGTTCGTGCAATAATTTGGCGGGAATGGTTTGGTAAAACTGGCGATGCCACTACAGTAACAAGCTTCAGAATCTCCATGCCGACACTGATCCTCCCCGCGACACTTCTTGTAGCTTCACTGCCCTCTCAATAGTCTTAGCTTGTTCGCGGTGTTATCTTATAGAAACGGCAGACTAATGTAGATGAACAGCCATTAGTTTCTTGTTAGTCCCTCATTTCATGATGCCAGTCGGATCCCCTATTCAACGGTTGCCGGAGAAGCTGCTGTCTCAGATTCTGTATTTTCTGGTTCGACCTGATGGTCAGCTGCAGCATGCACTTGTTAGCAAGCAATGGCATCACACTGCGCACCGCTTGCAACATGAGCTCCACTTGCCCTACGGTCTCCTCATGGATCCGCGTCAGCTCGTTCAACTCCTGTCGTCGTTCCCTAACCTCAGAAAGCTCATTCTCTCGTCTAGCAGCCTCACCTCATGTTCGAATTTTCTGTTCTCTAGCCTCGCTGACGTGTGTCCACATCTGACCGAGCTTCGTGTTGAATCGATGGGACGTGAATACAGTCAATCAGGCGTGAGTGAGGAGAGCCTGAAGTTTATTTTTGAGAAGTGTACTGGGCTGGAAGACCTCTCTTCGGAGTGTTCCGCACGTGCTAGCCTTCCTCCGTCAATCGACCGACTCACATTGCTCAGAAACTTAAACCTCAGGGCAAGGCTCACGCGTCTTCCCGACACCTTTACTTCGTTGCAGTCTCTCAGAAGCCTCGTGCTGAACTCTTTCAGTCTCCAGTCCTTGCCTCGAGATTTCGGCAATCTGGTTTCGTTAACGTCGCTCAAGTTGATCTGTTTCGGCTCGCAGTCCTTTCCAGAATCCTTCGGTGAACTTGCCAGTCTGAGCCTTCTCTCCATGGTGTACTGCTCCACGTTGCAACTGCCTGCCGCTTTCACCAAGCTTTCTTCTCTCGCCGTCCTGGAGCTTCGACGCTGCAAGTTCCTTCTCCCGTCGCCCATCAATTTTCCTCGACTGCGGAGGCTCGAAACCCTCATTATGGAAGAAGTCACGGGATTTCGCGACCTAATCGAGTCTCTTGAGCATCTGTGGTGCCTCAAGACTCTGGTTATCAAGTGCTGCAGCGATATCACGTCTCTGCCCGAGTCTCTCTTCCTCCTGCCTTCACTCACCAGTCTCACCCTTAGCACGTCACTAATTTCGGTTCTGCCAGACGAGTTTGCAAGGTTGTCACAGCTACAGGAACTCGTGCTGGATTTGAGGTGTCGCACAATAATCCTTCCTGATTCCATCGCTCTGGTTACTACACTGCAGGAGCTTTCCCTCAACAATATCTGGAACCTGAAGTCTCTGCCCGAGGAGTGCGGTCAGCTGATTGCTCTGGAAAAGCTGCACATGAACAACCTCCATCAGCTCACGCACCTTCCCGAATCCCTTGGGCAGCTGACAGTTCTTCGGGAGCTGAAAATTATGGAGTGTAGGCAGCTGCAGCAGCTCCCGGACTCCCTATCCCAGATATCTTCACTCGAGCACCTGGAGATTATCAAGTGTCCGGAAGTCAAGGTGCTGCCAGATGACATGGGGAACGGTCTGCCTCGCTTGAAGTATCTTCATTTGAAATGCTGTGCAGCTCTCACCCACCTCCCTCCATCCCTCTCCCGCCTGACGGCTCTCGAAACCCTCAAGGTTGTGGAAGCCATACGCCTCAAAGGCACTCTTCTAGATGGCTTCGGTTGCTTGACAAGCCTTAACGAGTTGGTTCTCCAAGACATGCCTCGCTTATCTGCCTTTCCTGCCTCCTTTTATGGCCTTTCCTTGCTTACCAGCCTGGAATTTAACAATTGCCCAAAAGTGACAGTCTTTCCTGAGGGGATCGAACGGCTGGAGGCGCTTGAGGTGGTCAAGATCGCACGGATGAAAGGCTTGAAGCATTTCCCTGCGTCGCTTGTTAGGCTGCCCCGACTGCAGGTGTTGGAGGTGCGGGGATGTGGTGGGGTTGGCGTGCTGCTAGGGGATGAGATAGTGCTCAAACGCACTGACAGGGGTTATGTGCCGGTCTGTAGCAGCAACGCCACCACCAGCAGCACAACAGGGCATTGCTTCCATCCCTCCATAGTCTCAAATTGAAGTCTCTCCCTTTCTATACCCTCAGTCCATCCCTTGGCCAGCTATCCTCTTTAACGAAGCTGAAGCTTCTAGAGATGTACAGCCTTGAATCTCTCCCTGAAACCATCGGTCAACTCTCGCGTTTGAAAACCCTCCGGATTGATTCGGTCATGCGGTTGGAGGCGCTGCCTGACAGCTTGGGAGGGCTCTCAGGGCTGCGGATCATGAAGCTGGTTCACCTCATCACGATACGGCAGCTGCCAGAGTCTTTTGGGCAGCTGACGAAGCTTGAGACGCTGGAGATTATTGACTGCCACAAGCTGATGCAGCTGCCAGAATCCTTTGCCAATCTGTCCAAGTTGCAATCGTGCATCCTCACTAAGCTTGGAATCGCGACATTTCCAGGCAATTTCTGGAAATTGTCTTCCCTTGAAGAATTGGTGCTCCTGGGACTGAAGCAGGTCCGCAGCTTGCCAGAGTGGTTCTCTAAGCTGCCTAAGGTGCAGGTGCTGCGGGTGGTTGAATGCAAGAATCTGACTCAGCTGGCGTCTTCTATCCGACAATTGCCGACTTTGCGCGTGTATGATATCTGCGAGTGCCCTTTGCTCTCAGAGCGAGACAGGAGGGGGATTTTTGCAAGGGCAGGCGAGGAGGATGGGGTGGAGGGAGAGGGAGAGGCGGTTGATGAGGGAGAGGAGGAAGGAGGGGAAGAGGCAGAGGGTGGGGAGGGAGGAGATGCGATTGTGGAAGGGCAAGAGACGGACAGGGAGGCAGCAGAGGAAGCAGAGGGTGAGCAGGGAGGAAATGCGATGGTGGGAGGGGAAGAGGCGGACAGGGAGGCAGCAGAAGAGGCAGAGGGTGAGCAGGGAGGAAATGCGATGGTGGAAGGGCAAGAGGCTGACAGGGAGACAGCAGAGGAGGCAGAGAGTGGGGAGGGAGGAAATGTGATGGTGGGAGGAGGAAGAGAGTAGTGGCGGTGAGGATTGGGACGTTTGGCATGAATATGGCATGGACAGTGATGATGACAGGGACGATGGGGGAGGCTGGGTGGTGAGTGATGACGAGGAGGAATAGCACCATGTAAGAACAAGGTGGAAGGAGGTTGTTATGGTAGAACGAGAAGTTGTGATCTTGAATGGAAGATGGGGGATGGGAACTACTAGCTTAGTTTGGGTTTATCTTGGTGTCGGTGCAATTGTGCAAGCTATAACTGAGAAGAGCCTCCTTGCTCTGTTCGAGGGGTGTACGCGGCTGGAAGACCTGGATCTGCATTTGTCGGACCGTGCTGCCATTCCCACCGTCAATTGACCGGCTCACATTGCTCAGGAGCTTGAATTTCAGAGCAAGCGTCAAGCGGCTTCCGAACACGTTCACCTCGTTACAAGCTCTAAGAAGCCTCGTGCTGAATATCTTTTGGCTCGAGGTTCTTCCTCCAGATTTCGGCAATCTGGTTCCTCTAACGTCTTTGGAGTTGAATGCTTGCTGCTTAGAATCACTCCCAGAATCTTTCGGTTAACTTGTTGCTCTGAACCGTCTTCTATTGACTTGCGGCTTGACATTGCAGCTGTCTGCCTCTTTTACCAATCTTTTTTCCCTCGTCACACTTCAGATTCGAGGAAGCGAAATTCGTCTCCCGTCGCCCGTTGATTTTGGTGAGCTGCGGGGCCTCGAAACCGTAGTATTAGAAGGCGTGGCGGGAATGCGGGATCTGATAGAGGCTCTCGAGCACTCGAAGCGGATGAAAACTTTAATCGTCAAGGGTTGCCATGATATCAGGTCTCTGCCCGAATCCTTTTTTCGCATGCCTCTCACCAGTCTCACCCTCAACATGCCAGGACTTTCAGTGCTGCCCGATTGTCTCGGGCAGTTGTCAGAGCTTCGGACACTCGTGCTGGACCTCTGGGGACTCACAGCCTTCCCTGATTCCATCGCTCTGGTTACTACACTTCGAGAGCTTTCTCTTAAGAATTTCCAAGGAATGACGACATCTCCGACTGTCGAATTCGGCCATCTGGTTGCGTTGGAGAAGCTGTGCCTGAAGTGCCTTCCACATCTCACTCACCTCCACAAATCCCTTGGGCAGCTGATAGTTCTACGGGAGCTGAAAACAGTGGAGTGTAGGCAGCTGCAGCAGCTCCCGGACTCCGTATCACAGCTATCTTCTCTCGAGCACCTGGAGATTGTCAAGTGTCCGAATATCAAGGTGCTGCCAGATGACATGGGGAGCGGTCTGCGCTGCTTGCGTCATCTGCTTCTGCTGGAATGCACGGCTCTCACTCACCTCCCTCCATCCTTCTCCGGCCTCACGTCTCTTGAAACCCTCAAGATTTACTTTTCGTCACACTTCAGGGGCGCCTTGTTAGACGGCTTTGGATGCTTGAAGAGCCTCAAGAAGCTGTCACTCCAGCACATGGCACGCCTATCCGCCCTCCCTGCATCCTTCTCGGGTGTTATCAATTGCCCTAAGATAATGGTCCTGCCTGAGGGGATCGGATGGCTGGTGGCGCTCGAGGTGATCAAGTTAGGACGGATGAATGGCTTGAAACGTCTCCCTCCGGCGCTTCTTGAGTTGCTGCGACTGCGGGTGTTGGAGGTGCGGGGATGTGAAGGGCTGGTCATGGTGCTAGGGGATGAGAATGAGCATGAATGTACCACTGGTGGTTATTTGCCCAGCAACAGCAACAGCAGCAGCAGCAGCAGCAGCGCACTGCTTCCATCCCTTCAGAGACTGAAAGTTAGGTCTAAAGATGTGGAGTCCTTTGGTCCATCCCTTGGTCGGCTCTCCTCTCTGACGCAACTGAAGCTTCTGGAGATGAACAGACTTGATTCTCTCCCTGACTCCATCTCTCACCTCTCGCATCTGCAAAGGCTGAAAATTGATTCGTCCTTTATTCTGAAAGCACTGCCCGAGACCCTCGGAGGGCTTGCAGGCCTGCGTGTGTTGCAGCTGGTGTACCTCATCTCAGTGCGGCGGCTGCCCGAGTCTCTCGGGCAGCTGATGAAACGCTGGATATCATCGATTGCTTCAAGCTGAAGCAGCTTCCAGAGTCGTTTGTGAATTTATCCAAGCTACAGTCCTGCACTCTTGTGAAGGTCGGTATCTCCACCATTCCAGATGATTTCTGGAAGCTGGCTTCCCTCCAGAAGTTGCTGATTTTGGGACTGAAGCTTGTGAGAAGATTGCCGGATTCGTTCACGCAGCTGCCTAAGCTCGAGGAGTTGGAGGTGTCTGCGTGCACGCAGCTGACCCGTCTGCCGTCTTCTCTCAGGAAAATGGCGATGCTGCGTGTCTGCAACATCAGTGAGTGCCCTCTGCTCTCCCAGCGAGATATGAGAGGGGTGAGAGCAGGGAGAGGTGAGGAGGATGGGGAGGAGGGAGACGGAGAGGGCGAGGGGAGAGGGGATGTGGAAGTGGAAGAGGGAGGTGGGGACGATGTGGTGGTGGAAATGGAAGAGGAGGAAGATGAGGCATGGGAGGCAGAGGATACTGGTTGGTGGGATCACGATGACATTGAGCATCAGTATCGCCATGACAGTGACAATGACATTGACTTCGTAGGAGGTTTGGCTGAGCTTCTTGACAACGACTAGAAGTAAGGCTCAGATGAAAGATTAGGATTTGAAGTGTCTGAAGATTGATTCGCTGTGTTTGTGAGTTTGTTTACCTCACTGGTGCTAGAGCGTGTTATCACATTTGCCATCAGTAGGTTCTGTATCGTACTGTATCACGTGGGAACAGATTGTGAAGTCAAGTAGACATAGTTTCATGTTGAAGACAGTGTTGCAGGGGTGCAGCTTGTGGATGGATTGTACCGTACAAACTCTCGACTTGTGTTGCAGATTGTGCAGTGTTGCACCATTGAAATTGGATGGGCTAATGGGACACCTACCTATGGTATGGGCCGTTTACACCATACCACCTGAAAGCAGTCCGATTACAACGTATGCTTGGTTCTGTGCAGATGGGTGGGATTACAAAATGAAAAATACATTCACGTAGTCAACCTCTTAGCACCAGAATGAATGAAACGAGGTGAAGGGAACGCCCTCACACGCAAGCCTGATCGATACGAAATGTCAGAGGGCCCCCACAGGACTTCCAATCGTGCGTCTGCTGCATCACGCTGACCTCCTGTCAGGGCACTTCAACCCGCAGGACTCCAATCAACCCCTCCTCTGCTGCGTGAAAACCCTGCATCCCGCGCGTCAGCCTTACGGTGCGCACACTTTTACTCTGCCCCCCTGTGGAGGCAAGCGGCATCGGCGCTACCAGTACTGCGTGGCGGCGAGAAGCGCGAAGTACGCGCAGACGAGGCGCTGCGAGATGTAGACGAGCACGGCGAAGGAAAGCGAGACGAGGGTTATGTCGCGAATGTCGCCTTTCTGCCGCGGCGTGATGAATCTCAGCAGCGACTCCACTGCGCCCGCCACTCCGCCCTTCACCCCTTCCGCGTCCTCCGCTTTCCGCCGCCTGCTGCTATCGTCGCCCCCAGTAGGCCCCCTTTTCCCCGCTCCACCATCCCTCGTGTCGTCGTCCCTCACGCCCGCCCCGCGTTGCCCTCTGCTGCCGCCATCGTCGTTCTCTCCTTGCCGCTGCTCGGCCGAAACCGTGAGGCGAGCGAGGCTGCGCCGTGATGGTCCAGAGTGAACAGACGGCGAGCGAGAGGGCAGAGCGAGGTGTAGCCGGGACAGCCGACAGCTCGAGTCGGGGCGAGCGGGCTGCAGGCGTGAGGAACAGAGAGCTGAAGTCATAGGCCAGTCTGAGTAGCAAGATAGCTGCGTATGAGAGTAGCACGTTTGCAATCTGCTGCTAGAAAACGATGGAGCTGCCGAGTATTTCGTTGTCATCGCCATACCCAACCAAACTGAAACACAGTGAAAAAGGTGTTGCTGGAAATAGGCCAAGTACAGCTTTTATTGCGACTATTGCTGCACGAACAAAGCTGTTCACACAGATGTGAGTGGGGGGAATCAAAACACACAGGAGCAAGATGGGGGGGCTACAAGCAGATATGTTAGACAAAAATGGTTTGGTTCGGTGGCTTGAAAAGGGGAGGTGGTGGTTTGGTATGCGAAGTTCGTCCCAAAGCTCTTGCATGCCGAGCCTCTAACTCCACGCAAGCGGGAAACGGAAGTTCTCCAGGTGGGATGTGATGTGATTCGTCAAAACTCCGATGTATGAGTCAGACATGCGTCCATCCACCCCTCCCCATCGGGCTGCACAAATATCTGACAAGGGCTGGTTTCTTATAAACCAATAGTGGTAGTCCAAAAGTATATAATATAACATGAAACACTTTGAGAAAAAAATGCCAAACTACTACATATGAGTTACCAGTATGCCATAAACTGTTCCTGATGAACGTCTAATCTACACCAAACAATTTCTTGCTCATCTCCCTTAAACGATACTTTTCATATGATCACAGCCTGAAAATTGGTTTATTTCGTTATGTCACATGAAATCTGTATATGTAATTGTATGTAGATTAGGTAGTGTAGTATCATCCTATTCCTCTCTAGATGGTATACTTCCCCTTTGCCACCTTGCCTTTTGCTCTACTATATCTTGTATCTCTTCCCATATTGCAAACCCCTTTTTGGCCAACATCTCTCTCTTCACTACCTATCATAGGTACTCGCTAGGCTCCTACGTCTGAAGGTTATCACATTTTTCTGACATGGTATCTAGAGCTACCACGGTTAAGGACCTAAGTTGTATATTTTAGTGGAGCTCGTTGCAGCGCCCGTGAAGGGGCTCGTCGCGACACTCGCCCGCTGCCCGCACCGCGCTATCCGACCCATGTACTGGTTGCCCTGTCCCACGCGCTCTCTTGCCCCGTTTCGCCATGAGCAGCAGCAGCCCCGCGCGTAGCCGTGCACAGCTGCGCACGCGCCAACGCTGCCGCCAATGCGCACGTTAGCGACCAGGGCCAGCGCGCACGCCAGAGGCATGCGCCACCGCGTACGCCAACGCCTGCACCAGTGCCATTTGCCAGCGCCATTCGTCAGCGCTAGCGCCAAGGACGGCCACCAGCGACCAGCCCCAGCGCGAACGCGTTCACCGACGCCAGCCACCAGCGCCAGCACCGGCACCAGCACCAGTGGCAGCGTACGCCACCCCCTTCCTGCCGCGGCTTCCGCCATGGGGAGGGGGGAGATGTGGGGGTGGCGGGTGTGACCAGCTAGTAGCGGTCCCTCCCCTCTCTCTTCATTTCTCTCCCTACAGCACTTTGTTGTTGTGGGGGGGGGAGTGGGGGGGAGAGAGGTCGAGGGGGGATGAGAGCATCTCCTATCATTTCTCTCGCTTGATTCCTCCTCCTCCATCTACGTTCCCCTGCATCTCGTCTTGCTACTCCCCCCCCTCCTCGTTACCGTCTTTACTTGGCATGTTCGCTCCACCGACGTGCACACCGAGCATTCGTTGCGGGTGTTAAACCGCAGGTGTGCACAGCTGTGGGAGTCAACCACCGTGGTCCAGCTGTGGCTCGATAACTACACAACTGTGAGTGACTGCCTCTCACTACCGAGTCGTGCATGCAGTTAAGGGGGGGTGTAACTTGTATTTGTTACTTCATGTAGATTAGGTAGTGTAGTATCATCATATTGCTCTCTAGGTGGTGTACCCCCCCTTTTCCACCTTGCCTTTGCTCTACTATATATTCTATCTCTTCCCATATTGAAAACCCCTTATTGGCCAACATCTCTCTCCATTACCTATTTGAAGGGCATTTTCCTACGGCCCCTTATCAGGCCAACCTCTTATCAAGCTCATGTAAAAACACACTCAAAATTCTCTAAACCCAAAAACCATCGCTAATTTTTACCACGCAAGGCTGACAAGAGGTTTGCCCTAAGTAAACCCTTGGTTCCTAAGTCCTAGGGTCATCACCTTTTTGTGACACATGAATTTGTACGTGCTACCCAAAGATACTACGATGATGCTATTGAATGTCATTAACATGTTAACATCACAAATCAGATAGCAAGTGAATCATTCTTTTTTTCCACCCTACGAATGGAGACGACTAAGAGCAAGACGAGCAGCAGCGTAACAAGATTGCCACATGAAGCGTGCATTGTGCTGCGCAGTGAAGGTTGCACAGAAGCACCAGCAATAGCCGCAGCTGCAGACGCTGCACCAGCAGCTGCCACAGCTGTCGTCGTCACTTGTGAGTGGTTTGAGGATCCTTGGACTTCCTTCCTCTCCTCCTGACCGTTTACAGTCTTGTCCTGCTTATGGTCCTACGTTTCCTCCATCGGACTCGGCTCCCGTTTGATCTCCTCCTCGGTCACGGCCGCCTCCTCCTATTGTGCAGTCTCAGTGGACCAGTTGTGATTTCCGTTGGTGCGCGTCCCTCGTCTCGTGTTCAAGCTCGGATCTGTTTTTTGATGGCCTACTCCTCTTCTTTATCCGCATCCATGTTTCCTCCCGTTGCCTCCTCACTCAGCTCTCACATTTTCCTCACTTCCTCTTATCATCTACTACCGTACTGCTTGCGCTATTGTCTCTAGTGTTCCCGACTACCTTGTCACGTACAGTACTGCGTCTTCGTCGTCTCTCTTAGCTCTAGTTGCCCTAGTCACTGACTTTGTCGCCGCCACCCGCTGCCTTGATTACGCCACCCGCTTGGTGACTTCTCTTTCTACCCGTCCCCAGTACGCCGGAGGTGAGTGCACCTTGGCTGTGACATGGAAAAGGACATCTACTTCAAGCTGGAGTTAGTAGCAGGTGCTTCTCCTCATCTCTGTGCCATGCGGCTCGCCCGTGAGACACCGTAATGCTCTTGACATCCTGACTCCTCGCACTTATGCTGAGGCGATTGTGGGCCTCTAAGTGGATAGAAGCCATGGAAGTAGAAATGACTTCTTAAAAGGTTCACAGGTACGTACGTTGGCGCAGTTCCCCTCTCAAGGGCGAACATAGTCGATGACATGTGAATCTTCAAGATGTAGCAGCCACCTGGATCGCTGCGCAGCCACCTAAACCATTGTCCTCCTGACTTCACTGGTATATTCCCGCCTGAGACCAATTGGAGTTTGAGACGATCACTTTAGGGTCTTTGACAGGTGCCTCGTGAGTGGCATGATACTCTTCACTCCACTCTTGCGTATCTCAATTTCAGTCATTTGACTACAGACCCGTCGCCGTTTGTTCGTTCTAGATTTACTCCTTTCTTTGTCCTTGTATATGTCAAGAACCTGGTTTTCGCCATAGTAGACACAGAGCCCTGGCTTCAGTGAAGTCCGAACTACAGAATAGATACACGTGCACTGACCTTGATGAGCTGCGGAGCTACCTTGGCTTGATGATCACTAGGAACAGAGACGCACTCACCATCACTCTGACACAGTCGCACATGGTGCAGCATGTCCTTTTGCGGTTTGAACTTCAATTCACCACCTCACAGCCCGCTCCTCTTGCTGTTGACCATAGACTGACTGGTCTTCTTCTTAATGAGCCTTTGAGCCTTGTGGTCCTTACGTCGAGCTTGTGGGTTGCCTCATGTACCTGCGTCCATGTCCTCGTCCGGACCTCGCTAACCATCTCAGAGTCCTGTCTTTCTTTGTAGTGACTGTGAGAATCGTCTTGATGCAAGCTACAAAGGTAACGAAGGTACTCTTGATTGTGTAGGTGGTTGTGGTACTTTGCTCTAGCTGGTTGTGGGCTAAGGGTTTGGGCAAAATGTAATGATTAGACTTGTTCCGGGTTGGAATTGATCTTGCACCCAACAAGCACCAACAAACTTTTGATATTCACTACAACACCTTTGGTGTTGCTAATTTAGCACTTTGGGTTCTTGGGGATTGTTGTAGGGCAAGGGTTGGGCTGGTAGGGTTTGAAAAACTAGTCACTTTTCTGATCTGAACTCTTCCGAAAGCTACCTTCTTGATTTAATCCATGGCTGCCAATTGATTCCGCCAGAATACCCCGTTGCACTTAAATCTCGATAGCGATCGGCCTAGATATTGGTTGAAGGCGTGCGTTACCATTCTGTAAAGTAGAGATTAAGAACTTTCCAATGCATACCTGCTCATAGTTTAAGATTACGTGAGCTGCACGCAATGTTCCGTCAAAGTCGGCGGACTTAATCTCTTGTTACGCTCTCTAGATTCGCTCGCTTTCCATCAGTGGTATCAGAGCTGGTTAGGCCTGCGACATTCCCTCCTATTATTATATTTATAATTGGCTTAAGAACCTCCAGATCTAGGGGTTGTTTATGGCCCAGAAATTAGATGGCCCTCCTAGGTTCACCGGCTCGGATTTTTCGCTATGGCGGTTCCAGTTTACGCTTTGGCTAAGTATCAAAGACCTAGAAGGCGTTTTAGAGGGATCGGAGCGAAGACCTGAAGCTGATGAAGGAAAGACATCTACTGGAGTCTCTAGCCAACTGGGAGAAGGGGCTGGGGGAGCCTCTAGCTCATCCATAACTGAGGGAAGTGGAGGTGGACCAGCAGCACCGCGAACCGGAAGGCAACGGCTTAGTACAGAGGCGCTTCTTAAGGCACAGGAAGCATGGGACCGCAAGGACAAGCAAGCGTTCCAGTACCTGCGTTGGGCCTTGGAAGGTCAACTAGAGCTCTTAAAGATGCTGATTGACCTGAAGGGCAAGCAAGGAGCAGCTGTGTCAAAC